TGTCCCTTTAAAACACGAGCTTGTGACGGATTTTCGCGGACGTGATAGGTTGTTGAGCTCATGAATTATTAATGAGATTTTGAAGTGATGATATTAGGGAGTTTAAGATACCACGAAGGCGACGGCCACGAAAACGTCGCTTAAATAGTGAATTTTAAATCTCTATCGTTCGCACTTTGTCAAATGCAAGCAAACTCTAGCCTGCATTGCAACCGGCCCACGCACTCCCCTAAACCGGGCGTTTAGAGCGTCTGCGACGCAGGCAAACGAACTCTTTTTTCAGCCGAATTAATGAGAATCATATTCAAGTTCAGAAAGAGAAAGAAAATTTAGCCGTCGCTTATTTACGTCCTCCATAAAACGTGACATTAGGCATTTTCCCGTCGTAGTCACGCAGTGACGGTAAAGAAATGTACAAAAAAGCGAGATGCACGTGCAGAGTTGTTGTTTTGCTTATTCAATCAATTGCTTTTTTGACGTTCTCGTTGTCGTCGCCGTGGTGGCATCTTAAAGTCCCTATTAATTTCTGAAGGGGCGTTAACTAATGCTGTGTTTACACTCAAGCGTTTACCAAGGTAAACATTAACTGACTAAACCCTGGTACATTTGTACAGTGTTTATACGGGCTCAAATAACTAAGGTAAGTCTGTCATCAATCACAATCTAATCGAATTGGCCGCAAATTCTAAATCCACGCATAAATGCTCGCGTTTAAAAGAGAAGCTGTGGCCCTTGTAGTCCTCGCGTTTTATTTTCTTGTTCTTGATCAGCAAACCCAGGAATCGAGTTTGCAGCAGCTCTTACTTTTGCAGCACCCAAAGAGGTGGAGGCGAAAGCGATTAATTCTGCTACAAATTGCCCTTCGCAAGACAAGGCGCGTTAGACGTGCGTGGTCGTGGCCAAGAAACCAATTCTGGTTCGAAACTCTATTAAACGGAAATTTTGTTGAAGAATGGTGTGTCTTTTGTGTCTTTGGTTTTTGCCATCACTTCTTCGTAGACCGAAACCAAACGTGGAAACCTGGTCGAAAACCTAGTCTCGAAAACCTGGTCTCGAAAACGTGATCGAATGAGCCTGACGCAATCCCGACACCACAGGATTTGAAATTCTATGCGACCGCAAGCGGATGTATCTGTCATCCAAACCTTGGTTACCGACCTTAACCATGCCTTTTCGCAGGGCAAACCGAACTTTTACCTTAGTTAACTTTCTATTGTCTTGAGCGGTGTTTACCAGGGTATCAGTTGGCGTTTCCACACGCAAAATATTTACCTAGGTAAGTTAACTCCAATACCTCGGTAGCATGCTCAAGTCTAAACACGGCATAAGAAAATGTTCCTTGGATAATCACGTGATCAAAATAACATGACATAACAGAATAATGTTATTTTAAGAAAATGTGTGCGATGACTTTCTGCCTTTAAAAAATGTTTCACTCGTAAAAGCACTCAAAAACAAAAGTGCGTATACGACACATGAAATCTTATTTCGGGAAAATTTGTGTGATGCGTTCGGTCGAAAACTGGTTCTTGGCAAGTAACAAGCAGTGGCCACCTGTGGTCACTGTGCTCGTACCTCCTTAGACTGTCATTTTCTTTTACATACAACTAATTGCAAAAACGTTGTCATAGAAAAATGAAAAAAAAAAGGAAAAAGCCAAATAGGAATTAATTAGGCTAATAAGCCTAATGAATTCATTTGCAGCATCCGCACATGGACGTCGTATTTGCCTGTTGGAATTTGCTACTGTTTTAAAGCTGAAAAATAAACTAAAAACATTTCTGCAGGGAAATGCAATGGCTGCAAAGGAATCCACCATGAGAATGTGGCTTTGTTAGCCTATTTAATTCCTATTTGGCTTTTTCCTTTGTCATTTTTTCTAAGACAACGTTATTGCAACTAGGTGTATCTTTTCAGTAAATGCATGTAGGTGGCACTTTTAAAATTGAATTGTTGATATTAATACCCCGCTGTAAACAGCGTAAAATAAAGTTCCCAAATTCATTTAAAAATTATTCATGCGGTCAAAAGCCAATAAATGATGACCATTTGGGTCAGGTGAATGAATCGCGATGCCTATGAAACACCAGATAAAACACCACCAGGTTTTCAACTCAGATCAAACAATTGCATTTTAATGAGATATTTTATTGATTAACACAACTCATGGAGTATAATTTCTTATTGTTTCATTTGAGAAGAGATGTCAAAAGTCAAAAACTCGGGCTTTGTGCCTCATCACGGGTTCGAATTTTAAGGACCTTGAAACAGGTGACAGTGCTTTCATCTATTTCTCGGTGTTTGGAACCCGTGAAAGCACTCGCCCTGGTTTTCGTGACATATTGCTTAAAGCCGAAGTTAAAGTTAGAGTTATACCACTACACAATTTTTTAAGGCTTCCGACGCGGCTTACGTTTATTCAAAGGCAGCGTTTATTTAAATCATGCTCAAATCTCAGACATTGCTTAAGAAAAATCATTTAGAAGTATTATGTAAAACAAAAAGATGTCTAAAGTTCCAATCGATTCCAGTGTCTAGGTGTTTTGCTGATATAGAATCATGATTGTTTGAATGGTGTATGGTGTCGATTATAAAGTTATTACCGGGTGGCATTTAGATCAGGTCCTAAAGAACACTTACAATCTTTTTTTGTACTGAGTTAATCATTTACTATTTCAGTGTTTGTGTTTACACAAATTCAGTTGTTTTTATACCTACAACCCGTTTTCGTTTTGTACAGATTTGTTTAAAATTCGTATCTTGAAAATCTTCCCAATGAGGACAATTATGAATTTAATCCAAAAAACGTGAAAATCTACAAAGCCCCGCCGACCAGTGTCAGGCTAATAAGGCCCCCTCTTAATAAGCCACGGGGCATTCCTCAATAGCAATGATAGGGAAACTCTTGGTTCCATGCATTTGAGGATTAATATTTGTGCACAAGTTTCGTTCAGAATGTTGCCGAACCATTTAGGGGCATTATTAAAGTCCGAGCAGAATAATAATGCATTGGAAACTATTTTTTTATTCAACTGATTCTTTAAAAACCTCTCGAGGGTTATAATAAGTTTGAGTCGCCCCCACAAACCTAGATTCTGGTGTAGTTTTGGGGTGTTTGTAGATTTCTTGACGAGCATCCCGTAATTTAATCAGGCTTTCTGGTCAAAAGCATTGTTTTTCGTTTATTTTTTCACTTTTTCTTAATAAATATGCAGCCGAGATTTTATTCAATCAAAACACAATTCAATCAAAAACACCTTAACTTGTAAGGCTAACGATAAAATATCACCTAAATAGTTTCTGTATATCGCATAGAAATACGCCAAATATCAAATCTTATTATAGATTGCAGCGATCTAAAGATATAAAGCAATAAATCCGAACGTACCTTCAGCTAGACGGCGGCATTTTTCTTGCCCTGACAGCGGATCGAGAGCGGAAAGGCAACCTAGTTCCAGTCCTACTCCGCATCACAGTTGAACCAGAGAGCGCGTATGAGCTTTTCAACGCCCTAGCTTCTTACGCCCTGTTTATGTGTATACCTTTCCTACGCTATTTATTTCCTTCCCAAATCAACATCATTCCGCCCCACCCTGTCAAAAAAAATAACCAGCAATAAAAACTGTTAACCTCGTTCCTAGGGTCTTTTCGAATTCTTATATGGTGGCGGCAGAGAAGCCCCTGTGGACTTGGTTGACCCAGAGTAGACTACGCATAGAGATTTCGATAACTTTCAAGAAGAGTGTGGAGTGTGTGGAGTTAGGGTTAGGGTAGTGAGGAGACCAGATTGTTGCTAAGTTTTCCATCATTTCTGCACCCGAGATTTTATGCCGATTTGTGGCTGACAAAATGGATCATCTATAGATCATTCTAAATCTTATACCACCAATTGATGCAAACACCGTTGTCCTTGAAAAATATACGCCATTATACTGTTAAAAACGTTTCAAACTGTGAATAATAACACATTTGTTCTTCGTTGTTCATTGTTTTTGTCAGAGCTCGTTACTTAGTAACACGATGAAAGTCTCCAGACAGAATGTGTAATTAATTCAGTATTATTCTTTTTTTCTATTATTTTCTAAGATGAATTCTCCTTTTATTTTCGATTTTTAAACATCTCAATGCATTTCTTTGTTTAAACGCCTTAGACTTGTGTTAAGAATGACTTGTTTCGACAACCAAATGGAGCAAAAGACTGTATCTAGCCGATTTGACGCTTATGTGCAGTAAATCAATCTATATCGAATACATGGAAACTGTAAAAAGATAGGTTATTCTCGGTTATTACTATTTCAAATCGCGGTAAAACGTGGTACACTCACTTTACTTAAATTTGCATGAGTTACATCTATTAGCCCAAAATGTGAAGTCTATCTAATCCATCCTCTAGATTAAAGACTTTACCAGTAGCTTTTCATCGACTTTCAACCCAAAATTTTTAAGGTGGTTGTTTACCCTCAAAATAAAAAATATATTTCAAATGTTCCTCACGCACTGACATGTGAAATGGTAGTATCCATTTCGGATCTATTAGTTTTTGACATCGCGGAAAAAATAAAAACAGTTATATCTGTCGGCGTGTTACCACTTTTCTCATTGCGATGACTTTCTCGTGTTACCACACGTTATTGACGCACTCCGAAAATATATATTGCGTAAATCCATCACAGGCCTGGAAGAAATCATAATTTTCAACGCCTATCAAACGTGTATATGAATTACATTCGGATAATGTTTGCTTACACACCTGCAATAGCCTCCAGCTGAATAGACACTACGCATGCTCACTATTCAGTGGTGACAATCTGCTGAATGACAGCTCTGAAAAAGTTCAAGTTTTTTGCATGAAATTTTCAATCGCTTAGCTTTCGAATGCAAATCATGCGCTCTTGCGAACCGCGCGGCCAAATGCAAATAGGGTATACAAACATTGCCATAAATCGAAGGGTTTTTTGGCAAGGCGCTCTTTTTCGGAGGCAAAATATTCATTTTTTTTTGCCTTTCTCATGTTTGCCTCTCACGTAACCACCAACGAATTAAGGCTAAAAAGCCTATTCTTGCCGCAGGAAAGAGGAATCATGTGATGGGAAAAGGTTATGTTCAATTGCTTGTCGCCGCTTGTTGACTGACCTACAAGGAAACGAACCACCTGCCAGCCGCGAAATTTCAAGATTTTCTCCGTTCGGATTTTTAGCCGAGTTTTTGCCCACAAAACCACAAGGGCAGCGACCTAAACGATTAATCTGATTTTTTCTTGCGATTTGCAGCCATGTTTATAGGAAAGTAATCTCTGTTTTGGCGAACAAGAGGAATTCCCTTTGAAAATGAGTGAACTGAACAAGGCTGCCTCCAAGGAAGTTATTAGAATAAGAGAAGAAGACGCGGTAGAAGAGGATTTCAAAATGGAGGAGGAAGAATCGCCAGGCGGTTCAAATGATCAAGACTGCGAACTACACAAGCAACTTAGCCAACAATCATCATCTCCGCCGCAAACTTCGAAACGTAAAGACCGCATTTCCATCAATGTTGGCGGTATCAGACACGAAACATATCGCAGTACACTTAAAAATATCCCTGATACCCGTTTATCGTGGTTGGCGGACGCTTCGGCGGGTTCTGTAGACTACGACGCCGATTTAGGAGAGTATTTTTTCGACCGACATCCGGGCGTTTTTTCCAATGTCTTAAACTACTATCGTACGGGTAAGCTGCACTGTCCGTTAGACGTCTGTGGGCCTTTGTTTGAAGATGAGTTGAATTTTTGGGGCATTGATGACCAACAAGTTGAATCATGTTGCTGGTTAACGTATCGACAACATCGAGATGCACAAGAAACTTTAGCTGCTTTCGAAGGAGTAGAATTTGAGAATGATTTTGATGACGATGAGCCACCGGATTTTGGCAGGTATGGTTTTGCATTTGCAGCCGAAGCAGTGCCCGATACTACATGGTGGCAGAAATACCAACCACGAATTTGGACTTTAATGGAAGAGCCCTATTCATCGAAGCTCGCTAAGGTAAGTGTTAACAAAGAATGGTGAACCGCTTTTGATGCTACTAAGCTAAAAAAAAAACCTTTCAATTTGAGCTTATTTATGAGGTAAAAAAGTTTGCCAAGCGGTACAGTGACATTCTCAGCTCAGTTCAACGAAACTTTCAATTTAACTTCCGACCGTGTCAAATATGAATTTATTCTATGTAGATGTCGAAAACGGCACTTTTTTTTTGTCATTGTACGCAAAGCTACGTAGATTGAGTTTCCGGCTTGTGAATGCAACTGTAAAATTTTTTAGAGTATTTTGTAATTGTAGCGATAACACAAGTTGCAAAGGAAGGTTAAATTAAAAGCTTTACATATACCTAAAACGTGATTTTACTCATGGAAAAATACAACCGTATTATTACAAGACATCTAACCTCCGCTCACGAAATAGAAACCTTAAAAATTAAACATAAAATTTTCGTGGTTTTCAGAAATTTAAGCGCCGTTCAAAATGATTTTTTGAGAGGAAATACATTTTGCTTGAAGGTTTAAAGTGTTTACGTTAATTCTTGTCGAGCGGAGCACGTAGTTATAAAAAACTATAAAAACGGGTCAACAAATTGCGGCGTAAAATCGAGGAAAAAATCATTATCAGATTTATTGGAGTCAGCGAAAGACGAAGGTTTCTCCCCCTAGTTCCTACTTTGTGGTTTATGGTAAAGAGTGGACGATGCAATGTTGATTTGTAGGACAGATAAATTTCAAATATATCTGTATCTGAATTAATGATCTAGGGTAGATTGAAAACGCGATGCATTCTAGTAAAAAATAATTCCACCTCAACTGAAATTTTGCTTTTTTGCGTTTTTTCACCTTTGTTAGATCGAGCTGAGCTCGGATTTCAGATATTTAAAGATCTGAAGTTTAGATTCAAATTTTGTGCTGGTTACTCGGTAAACTTTAACCGACAGCGCTAGAAATCAAATATTTATGAGTTCTAGCATTAGAACGAGTGATTTATAAGCATCCTGGCGAGCTACGAATTCTTTATATCCTGAGAATTATAGTCTGCTTGATTTAATGGTCTAAAATATTCCACGTAATTAGACAGTTTACACATCTTGAATAGCACAGTTAGAACCTAGTCAACTGAACTAAGCCATTCCTTCAAACTTAAGCCAATTAGGTGTGTAAAAACCCAGTAAAATATGTTTCAACCCTTTTTCCTTTTACATATTAAGAGAGAGTACAAGTCCTTCCCAGCATGACTATTGCTTGATTATTGGAGGAAACCAGGAAGGGGTATATCAGGATTTGAAAACCCCACTTTTGTTTTCAAAAAGGAGGCACCAATGGGTTTTAAAATTGCGTTGAAGAAATACATTATCGCTCCGCAGAGCAAGTGCTTTAATTTCAGAAAACGAAATGTCGAGCACTGTAAGGTATATTAACTGGAAAACTCCCTCAGTCTAAAATTAATATGAAATGTTTTATGCCGAAATTTCCGTTAAATACTTGTTGCGGACGAGAACTTTAATGCATGTAACGGATTCGAAGCGTTTGGTCACGAAGAAATGATGCGGTATGACAAATTCAGAGAGCGTAATTATAGTGTTTTGTACTTGAAGTTATAATCTAGGTTATTATAAGGGCTTAACGCCATTACGCGTTAAATTGTCTTGAGTCTTGGTTTTTTCTCTAGCACTTAGAGTTGAGGTCAGCGAAATGTGTCAACCGCTTAAGAAGTAAACTTAGTGTTTCTTTTGATCTAATAAACACACACGCTGAAATCAGAAAACATACAGGAAATAACCTCACGTGTGGAAATTTTAAATCGCCTCACTTACAAACTTGTCCTAAAGTAGATTAACAAAATATTCCGTAACAACGAAAAAAGAAACATGCATAATTAATCTCATTCATCAGTGTAATTTCTCTCCAAAATATAACCACGAAGTCAATTTTTTCCATATACTTTGTGAATTTTGACATCGAAGAGCGCAAACCAAGCGGCTGTAATCCTTTCTGTCTACATGCCGGCTTTGTGTAGTTCTGTTTTCTTTATATTACAGTCATTGTTCGTTACTAGCACCGCTGTTGCCGTTGGAGATAACAAGAACCGTAAACTAATTTTGCTCGCTGTTTTAAACAGAGATTTTGATCGAAATTCTTGGCATTTTTTTCAAAGTGAGCACAGATGACATGGCAACTTTTAAGCCGCTGTGAGCCGACTTTTGAATGTATTTTTCAGCCTTACAAGATATATTCATTGTCATCGGAGCGGTTAATAACCGCGCTTATCTTATTCATAATTAAACACAAGACAAACAGTTTAGGTAATCCAAGCTAATCCGTTTTTATAACGTTAGTTTTATATTTGCATTTAGAGAGCAGTATGGTCTTTACCCATTCACACCACATTAACCATTTTTCACACAGAAGGGAAAGACTTTTAAGTTAACGGAAGCAAATTGCTGCGTTGGTTCGGCACCGTGCACGCGAGGTGCGTTTTTCCGCCCGACACAAGAACGATGCACCATATTATCTCGTAAAAGATTTCTGCTCTCCTGTGATAGTATTTTGGTATATACTGCGAATAGCTTTTGGCCAGAGAAAGCACTTTGTTGAAAACGTAAAACACAAAAACTGCTTTTTTTCAAAGTTTACTTCCTGTTTCGCGCTGAATTTTGAAAATTTGACAATTTTATAGTCGAAAATGGCTAATTTGAAACAAACCGGTGACTTTCCTTAAAGAATAGAGAAAATTTGAAAACCTGAGGGACTTCAGTGCTGGCTTTGGGGATTTTAATAGAACACACGTTACTTGGCTCTAATGTGGATAACAACACTGTTATCCAAACGGGCCAGATTAAAGCAGGTAACAACCTGTTTTGGAGTTGTGTTAGGTAAAAGTAAAATTTATTTTAAACTTCATAACTAATAAAAGTACACAAGTCAGGTGAAGCACCGCGTCATACAGGATGAATACATATGAAGTCAAATCGTGGACAAAATGTTCGACTTGTTGTTTCGTTGTTTCGTCGTTTCTTTGTGTCACTTCTTCGCTTCGATCCGTCGTCTTGTCGCCGCGGCGTCAACGTTTCTTTGTTTCAATTTACCACTTGACTCGCCGTTTCGTTTTCGCCTATTTGACCGCGCTAGCCTGGGAAGGAGAAAAGGTAGAATTCTCCCTCGGAAGTAGTTTTACTCTCTAGACAATATGACGAACTTGTCAAGGGATGAAGAATTGAAAACCTACCTACGCCAGAGTGTACAGCTCATTTTCAACCGCGTAAACGAACAGTTTGATAAGAGTGAGAGTGAAGTGAGCTATTTAGTCATTTTATTAAAAACTGAATCATTGGATGATGCAATTCAAGCGTTTTGATTGGCTTAGCCATCATGGTATATGAGCATTATACATGCTCTCCATATATGGTCAGTGTACGCGTCAGTTCAAAATTGGAAGCTAGCTGAGATTTCTTTCGCGAAGGATAGAATGGCACCCGAAGAAAATCGTTTTAATTCTTAGAATACTAGAAAATGCGATTTGATCGGGAAAAAAAACACAAGCAAACAAAAAAGCCACAAAAGTTTGTTTGAAAGTTTATCGAAAGCTACTAAAGAAGACAAGTAAGGCCCGGTTCAGACGCCGAACTTTATTCGAATTAAGGTCGACCCCAATTATTTAGACCGGCTGAACTGATTCAGACGCCGATCTTAATTCCAGCCGTACTATATTCAAAAGGAGAAACATATTCGTTTCACTCAAACTGCTTACAAAATGCTTTATAATAACTTACGCATTTGGTTCGGTACATGAAAAGTTCGGCGTCTGAATTAAAGCCAATCCAAAGTCGATCAAAGTCGAAATTCCCGGCCGGGCTAGGCGAAAGAACAACTGAGCCTTTCCAAATTGAAATAGGCGTTCCTAGTTGATTCAGACGCGAAACCTCTTATATACTTAATTCAATGTATTAGGTTCGGCACATGAAAAGTTCGGCGTCTGAACCGGGCCTAAGCGTATTGTTTCTTCATGATGGCGAAGCCACTCACCGATCTATAACTTCAACCTGCAGCTGTTCACTGTTCTTTAGCCTTGCGGACACCCCGCTATAACGGACACCTCAATAAAACGGACAGCAGCTAAATCCCCGGCGAAAACAAATTACAGACGTTTGACTGAAATAAACTCTCGCTATTACGGACTCTCGCTAGTGAGGACACTACCTCGAGGTCCCTACAGTGTCCGCAATAAAGAGAGTTGACTGTAGTTACAAATATAGGCTATGCAGCCATTCAATGCAGCAATCCAGGCGTCAGTATAGCATTTTTTCTCGGTCAGCAAAACCAGCTGGCGGCTTCAAAAAACTTCATAACAAGCTTTGCATGAGTCTCTGAATGGCGACCGAGGGAAGAGTTTTCCTGCATTGTTCTTACTTTTGCAACTACACCAAAAATCCAAATTCACATTAATTTCGACGGTTGCACTTAAAAATTCTTTTGTTTTTATTATCTGCGAGTTTTTTTTAGCTGTCCTGCTGTGTAAAATCCTAGAATCCCGATGAGTTTTTTAAAAGTGTTCATCGCCAAAGAAGTTTTGATTTTTATCCATCCAGTCCGTTCACGCGTTGACATTTAGGGACTTTAAGAACCCAGGACGCGGTGAGTCGGAGACGCGACCGGAAGTAGCTTTTCCAGTTTCGGATGAAGAGCGCATGCGCTCGGCGTTTTCTCCCGCTCTTGAGAACGCGGCCTGAAGAGATTTGGCGTCGTCTGGAAAACGTGAGTATTTAGCCATGTTACTTAAAGCAAATCAGTATAATTACCAGTCTCTCACAACTATTCTGTCAATTGGAATTTAAAATTTATTGCCTCTTCAAAGGTTAGGCATCATTTTTGAAACGAAAAGGACCAAAGTTGAATAGTTTAAAACGTTTTGTTCCCTCCAGGTGAGCAAGCACATGGCGTCGAGCAGATCTTCAAAGTAAGTCATCTAATTATCCTTGAAATGTTTCCCAAAATCTCATTTTCCTTCACAGTTGAGGGAAATTATCACTACATTCATGCGGCTATTCTCATGCTTGATACAATTTAGTTGTCAGGCGACCTAGCATTCTACTTGGTCTTCTTTCTGTTTTTGATTAATCCAACGAGCTCCGATGTGAAATATCAGAATAAAACTTTATCGGTTGTTCCTTGAACGGATGATCGATTTTAGCTTCATAAATAATTTAGCTAAGACTATTCCGTTTTTCTAGTTGAGTCTCTACTAGATCCAGGCTTGATAATTCATGATGATCTGAAATTGCATTTCCTGATATTGAGTTTAATTAAAACTCTACTAAAGAAAGCTTATTAAAGCTAACTTTCAAAAATCGCCCACTATAAGAGGAAACATAAGTTCATTACCTTGACTGTCATAAAGCGTAGCATTTCAATAGCTAAGACTTTGACATTTCTGCTATTGTGTTATTTCCATTTTTTTATTTCTTTGAAATTGTTACTAATGAGCCATGTTTTAGACAATACTCTGAAGCGAAAACAAACCAAGACAAATTAGAACTAGAGAGAGATTGTATTTGAAGTTAGATGATGTTGCCTATCTCATTTGAAGTTTTGATAATGTGTATCTTTTAAATTATCAACGTTAGGCTTTGAATGCATTATTCCACTGCTGTTATTCCTGAAAGTGTAAGTTATGGGTGAGGTCTCTTTCCCTCAGCAAGGCCGCTTTTTAAATTTGTGAGCTTTAAACGTCATTAAAGAAAAATCTCACTTTTTTGAACAAGCATAAAATTAGCTGTGAGATTGACAACAGCATTTAGTTTCAATTCAAAAGAAAGGGTTTTTTTGGAGTGAATTTTATTCTAATATTCTCTTTGTTTTTGTTTTCACACAGCAATGTTATGTACTGGACTGAACAGCACAATATTATACTGTGCAGAGAAGTAGTGTTTGAAAATCCCTACTTATACAAAAAGGGGTCTTCCCAGCGCAGTGAAACTTGGAAGAAAATTGTAGATGTTCTAAACAAATGTGCTTCTCCGCAATTTAATGTTGACCACAGAGCCATCCGGGACCACATCAATGTCTTGGTAAACAAGTACAAGAAAAAAATTAGAGCTGAAGAAAGAGCGTCAGGAATATCCCCAGATGAGCCAAGTGAACTAGATGAGCTAATACAGCAAATTATTGCACTTGAAGAGAGTGCTCCCACAGATACATGTAGTAAGGATAAAGCTGACAAAGCTAAAGCAGAGGATGTAAGAATGAAAGCTATGGAAAGGCTTTCCCAAACCGAAAAAAGGGCGTCAGAGGAAGCCGAAGAGGGTGAGGACAAACCAAAACGAACAAGAAGAAAAACTGGAGATGCCATGGAGTTTCTAAAGGAAAGAGCACAGCAGAGTGCAGAAATTAGAGAAAAGGAACTTGAGCTGGAAAAGGGAAGACAGGAACAACAACTTAAAGTCCAACAACAACAGGCTGATATGCTGAAGCTAATGCACCAGCAACAACTGCAAAATCAACAGCAACAGCAACAGTTCCAGCAGCAACAAATGCTCATGATGCAGCAGGTCATGGGCGTCATGAGTAAAATGCTTAACAAGAAGATGTTAAATTTCTATTTCTAGATGTTTATACGTTTAAGATTTACATTTTTACAAAATGTTGAACTCAGAGTATTATTTGCCACCCCTTTGTTTAGATCTGCTTGTTGTTACAATCCCTGCAAATAACACACAACAACTGTTCAATAAGGATTTTATACAAGATTTTATGTAAACTTAGGCATTGACAGGTGTTTTTTTTTTTTTACAGTATTTTAGCCAAAGTAATCGACTAGTGATGGTGGGTCAAGGCCAAAGTAGTCAGCAGTCGTATTGCGGTAGAGACATGTTAGAGCATTCCGCAAAAGTGCACAAACAATGTACATTTTTCCTACACTCTAAATCCAAAAGATCTGTTTTAGCCCCAAAGTGCTGATTCAGCTCTATAGGCCCTGGAGCTGATTTGACCCTTCGTGGAGCCATTTTGTCAATTTGGTCTAAATCGACCCCAATAAAGACCATTGCAGCCCCATCGAAAACCGTTTTGGCCCACAGGAGAAATTGTTTCAGCCATGTGATGCGTATCGGCCCCTTTCACAAGAGCCATTTCTACTCAAAAAATAGAGACATTTCAGGTTTTAGTCTAGTTGGCCCCTATTTAGGGCTGACTTGGCCTATACTAATAGAGCTGTTTAGACCCCATGATAACGCAAAATGGCTCGACCACTAGAACCAACACCGATTTGAAGAATATATGTTAATCTTATCAGTGTCTAGTCGGAAGCATTAGTTCCTAATCACTGAGTACGGGCCGCTTTATCTTTATCATCGAGAGCTTCGATAAAGGGTTTGTAGTTCGAAAGAGCAAGTTAAGACATGGTTAGAGGCAAACAAGTTTACACAAGCAAGGTAGGAAGAGCCCACAGGTAAGTCGTCTTGAGTCACAACGATTTCTTAAATGGCGCATATTGGACCGAAGATCGTTGTTCTGAATCTGTCCATTTTAATATAGATGATTTTCTAGACGGAGACAGGAGCCCATCATGGAGATGATCATGATATGGTTACAGTGTATGAGGACGATAAAGAATGCCGTTTTTATTTTCCCCATTTTAAGGAAGGATTAAAATTTAAGAGGATAGTAAAGGCAGAGGCCGAGGAAAACCAGGTAAGAACATTTTATAGGTTATTGTAATTAATTTTGCTTTCCCGCCAAGACTTAATGATAGCGCGGGGTTTGGATACGAAAACATACACGTCACTCCCATAAATCCTTGCACACTACCAAACTGCGCGCGCATGTTTGAAATGTTTAGGCGGGCTTCCATTCAATTCAACGGTCAGGTCAACGGACGCTCAATATTTTAAGCGAATTTCAGTTTGATTTTCGCTAAACTCGGCGATTTTACTCCAAGCGAGAGATAGATCGTGGATAGAAGATTCTTATCAAGATAATTGCCATGTTTTGTCTCATTTGTTTCGTAAAGGATCGAAGGATGACATCGCCGTTTGAAAGGTTTGTCATGTGCAGTGCTACATTATATAAAACTGATTGAATGAATTTTAATACACAACAATTCCAGACTATTTTGGAATCAAACAAGTTTTGTAGATAACAGTTTGTACTTAAGTGATAAATAGATCAGCAAATTTCGTGAGTTTCCATCCATGGACATAGTTGAAGAAAGGCAATTTTGTTTACTCAGCTGCATCTTTTGACCTCAACTAGCCTTCAAATCAGTTCCAATAATATATTTCAAGTTTCTTTATTTTTCCACAAATTTTTAATAGAATGTTTGGCTGCTACATTTACATGTACATAGTAAGTGATCAAGGTATATTCCAGTTAGGTGCGAAGCTTTATGCTGAGGAATCCTTTCTGTTAGGCATTGATTGATCACTTTACGGTACAGTGTAATGCTTATGAAAAATGATCAATGGTACATTTCTATTTTTTTTTCCTCAAATAACGATTTGGTAAGGTGATCAAGGTATATTCCAGTTAGGTGCGAAGCTTTGATGCTGAGGAATCCTAATTCTAGGCATTGATTGATCACTTTTATACAGTAGACATGAAGCTTTGAATAAAAATAAGGTTCATCGTCATTTGGTTTTCTTGTCAAGATATACAGATGCATGTGGGGGTCATTTGTGTGCAAATTTACATGTTTCCTCTAGAAAGTTTTGTATGTTTATGCGTGACTGGGAACTTGTAGGCAGTATACAGTGTTGATGTTACCACCGCTACTTTAAAACTGATAGAGTGAATTACAACAATTTCAGACTAGTTTAACATCAAACCAGTTTTCCAGATAACAGTTTGTAATTAAGTAATAAATAAATCAACAACTTCACGAGTTTCCACGGACATAGTTGAAGAAAGACAATTTTGTTTTGTCAGCTGCATCTTTTGACCTCAACTGCAAATCAGTTCCGATAACATTTCAAGTTTCTATATTTTTCCACAAATTTTTAATAGAATGTTTGGCTGCTACGTGTACATGTACATAGTAAGTGATCAAGGTATATGCCAGTTAGGTGCGAAGCTTGATGTTGAGGAATCCTTTCTGTTAGGCATTGATTGATCACTTTACAGTACAGTGCAATGCTTAAAATGATCCATGGTACATTTCTATTTTTTCCTCGCATAACGATTTAGTAAGGTGATCAAGGTACTGCATATTCCAGTTAGGTGCGAAGCTTCATGCTATGAAATCCTAAAATTTTCCAGGCATTTATTGATCACTTTACAGTTAGACTCAAAGCTCAGAGTAAAAATAAGATTCCTTGTCATTTGGTTGTCTTATTAAGGAGTCTTTAATTTTGTGTACAAATTTACATTTTTCCTCCAGAAAGGTTTGTATGTTCATGCATGACTGGGAACTTGTAGGCAAATTTTGGCATCACAGATTTTATTTAAGTTTTCTGTGTGGCTGTTTGAGAAGACAGGAGTAAAAAGGAGACAAAGTGAAAGGAGAAAAGGCAGAAAACTATAAAAAAAAGAAAGCAAATCTTATAACTAAAACTAATCATTTGCTGGAAATGACAAAAAGAATCAGTGACCTTAAGACCAAGTGTAGTGCCAGTGAAAGCACTTTGGATTCAAATACATGTAATAAAGCAATGGGAATTTTAAAACATAAATATTGAACTCTGAAAAAATTACGTATTAGTGTCTCACAGAAAATTAAAAGTAGTTAAAGAAATGAAGCAACACTAACTCGTAGTTATGAAGACAGCTACAACAATGACGTCATATTAGGTCGGGGAAAGTGTGATGTTTTTAAGCTGATGTCTTTGTCACTAAGTGGGGAATCAGTTAACGTTGCAGTTATTCTGAATTGACACTAAAACAGGGTTCTCCTTAAATTTTAGCCGAGCAGGTAAGGGACCATTTATGGGCAGTAAGGCAAAAAATGCTCCAGAGGCGCACTTTCCTAGGGGAAATGGGGGAAGAGGGTAGTGAAGTGAGGGACATGACCCTGCCCTCGCTGAGAAATTTAGGAGCTAAGGTCTCTGAAATGTCATTCCTTCATTTGAAGACCTATTTCACGTAAATCAGTTGCTGTTATCTTTAGACATCAATATGTAAAAATGTTTGATTCCAGTATGTTTTTTGGTCCATAAAAAGAAAAGTTGTGCATACTTTAGTACTTTTGCACATATTCATTCATTTCTTTGATCGGATCGGATCGCAACTTGCGCATTTTTTAAACTTACAATATTTATTTTTAATAACCCTTCAGCGGTTGCAGGCGGTGAGAACTGTTGCTTCAGGCGGTAAATTTTAACGGTTACCGCTTGATAAGGAGAACGCTGTAAAAGAAGCTGTTATTGATGAAGCCAATCTTTTGTCGTGCATCTATCATAAGGCATTTCCCTATTTTGGTGTGTGTTTTTTGGAGGGTTGCATAACATGCTCATACTAGTCTAGAGGCTTGTGGAATGACAGGAAATCAAACACTCAGTTACCATTAATAGAGAGCTCTGTTAAACTGGAAGTAGATGTGTCACTGAAACATTGTGGTTACACATTTTAATGCCTTGTTGTAAGGGATTTTACATATGACATTAAAGGTGATAATAATTTTTTATCTTGATTTCCAAAAGGTGTAACTTGGATGATTGGCAACCTAAAATAATAGTCTTTAATAAAGCATGCAAAATAGAATCATTGAGAGTCAAAATTCCTGCAAGCGAAAAGAAGTTGACTCAATCATGTCATATGCATATTGTTCTAGCTCTGTATGATGGAAAATATCCCCTTGCCCAGCCTCAGATGTCTTGAGCTTTGGGTATACATGCATGGTTAGGGAAATTGCCAAAACAAACAGGTCAGAATTATTATTGTATCTACCTGTATGAGCAAGTATTAAGGACTGACCAACATTTGATATACTGCTGGGGGACCTAAAGAATGTTGTTACTATGTAATGCTGATTGTAATATGTTACAGGTCAAAGTTGGTTTCAGGTTAATTTTGATTTAATCTTGGTTGATTCTCAATTTCCTTTGTTTCCTAGCCCTAATTCATGAAAAATTAGGGCTAGGAGACAAAGAATATTTTTACAATACTGCAGGAGTGGTCATGTGACAGTTTTGTAACATAAGATAATAGTTTTTATCATATGAATTAATAAAGACTATTATTATTATTGTTATTATTATTATTATTATTATTACAGTGAAACCTGTATTAAGCGGACCCCCAGTTAAGCAGACACCCTCTATTAAGCGGACACTAAGCCGGGTCCTGAAATTAATGCTTTATAGTTCCCTTTATAACGAACCCCTATTCAGCGGACACCTCTATTAAGCGGACGTGGACACTAAGATAAGGTGTATTTTGCTAATTTCTATTGTTAAAAGCCTCTATTAAGCAGACACCGCACTGAATTAATAATAGTAGTATTGGATTACGTCCTTGAAATACGGACTGAAGTCAGTTAATGTTTTCGCATTTACAAACAAACAATTAAAGTAGGTAATGAAAGGTAATGAACTTGAATGGCTTCTTTAACAACGTACAACTTTATCACAGTACAGAGTAACGTCAAATGTTGATCGTTAACAAACATTGCGCCATTTTACAAACTCTATTAAGCAGACACTTGGGAAGGTCCCGAAGGTGTCCGCTTACTAGAGGTTTCACTGTATTATTATTATTATTGCTACTGAGTCAGACTTGCATGTATTAAAAGACTTTCATCTGTAATGTTATTGACTACTGGGTAAATTCATAGCTTAAACTGCTTAAAGCTTACATGTACATTATTGCAACTCTATTTTAGGTGGCCATGTTACTTCCTATGATTAGCAGAGTTATGTAAAATTTGCATTTCTAGTTCTTGATAGATGATAACCATTCATTGTATTACACTACTTAACCACAGCTATCAAGAACAGTATTTTTCCCTTTTTGTCAATGTAAATTATTATTGCCACATGTAGTTTAATTTGGGAAACTGTATGTTAGTAAATGTACAACTTGTTGATGTTGTTCTTTCTTGCTTTTTTGACAGAGAAATGCTTCAGTTGATGCAGAAATAGCCACTTTCATATAACCGCAAACTGTTGCAATTGAAGAGGCCTTTGATTTCAACAAAGTTTACATTGTGTGTGACGGAATAATGTTATGCACCATTCTGCACCAGAGTATTGTAGAGAGTATAATTTCTTTGCTGTCATCATTTTATATAGTTAACATGGTAATGGTATATAAAGGTCATTCAGACCTTGTTGAGTGTCAACACACTCTTCAATGGCATTTTCAATTTGTAATAGTGAAATGTATAGAGAAAAGCTCTACTAACTTAACAGAACAATTTTTTTCCTTCTTTTTCATACTTTTACGATTTGGCGGTTAAAACTTCTCAAGCAAAATGCCTTTAAAATGCTCAAAGGCTCCTAAGAAGTTATACTCACTTCTACTGTAATCATTACAGCTGTATGTAGTGCTTAAAATTCAGCACCAACCCCTCTATTTTGAGCCTAATGAACTTCTTGGCAACCTTGAGAGTTTTAATTTAGCAGGGTTCTGCTGAGTCACTTTTGTGACATTATTTTTATGAAATTTGGTGTTGGAGCTCCCAGCAGTATTTTATAAAGTTATCTTAGAGATGTACATTCCAAATTTTGGTTAAGTTTGCTAAAAATAATAATAATAAAAAATATTTTACATTGCACTGAGCATGCCTCTTGTGTGTTTTAAATGAGAGGGCAAGTTAATGAGATTAGATCTAGCACAAAATAAGAACACTTTTAGGGTAAATAGCTGTTAATTGTAGGCTCAAAGAGCAGTTTTAAACTCACTTGCACCTGAAGGAGAACTAAAGTGTATTTTCCTTTGGGCTATAGTTAGGCCTTGATTCTAAATGGCCCAAAAATGGGGCCATTTTATAGAATACCAAGAACCATTATAATCCCTGTGGATGGGCTGTTATAAATAATTAAGGTCCAAAACGGCTCTGGTAAGAAATTCCATTTCAGACATAATGGTACCGATTTAGTCATAGAAAGTACATTTGTTTTAACTCCTCATTGGGCCAAATTGGCCACGAAATATGGGCCAATTTCCATCTTAACTGAAGGTATGAAACGGCCCTGTAAGGGCTGAATTGACTCTTAAAATGAACCACTTCAACCCTATTAGAAACCAAAACTACTCCCTATTTTTCCAAAACAGCCCTTTTGCCTCTTCGTTGTGGCCACTTAACAGAGGGCTATTTCCACCCCGTTCATTGGGGCCAAAACGTCTCCATTCTAAATGGGCTAATTTAGCCCCAAAAATAGTACTGTATTTTACTCACCGAAACGGCCCCATTTTTGGGGCCAAAACAGATCTTTTGGATTTAGAGTGTACATGGCTAAGGCCAATTTTGAGATTCTTTTTGTAATCGAGAAACTTGAAATAATTTATAAGGTCTCCAAACAACCATTCCACACTTGTACGTACAGAACTCATAGATGCATTAAACTCTTCCATTTGTCTTGTAAACACCCCATTTCTGAAGGGGCACTGCAGATGGGTACGTAGAGGATATGCCGGATCCCCGTAGATACACATCTCCTGTCCAGCAGGGGAAAAGGCGAACTGTGCCAGGTCAACATAGAGGCCAGATGTGTCTAGCATTCTCGCATCATGCATTCGTCCCTCTGAACAAGAGCCAAAAAAATTAATTTTGAACCACAATCAGTCACACATTGGCTGGCTGACAAACTGTTACCTATATAGACCATTGATTACCTTAGTAATTGAGTAGGCAAAAAACAACATAGGATTCGCTGGCTATTATTCTTACAGTCCAGGTACTTATGGCCTATAAGTCAGAATTTATAATTTATTTGTCTGTGGTGACAGGACAACCATTTCCTCTAATAACAATTGAAAGTGGGAGCTACTGAAAATACCTCTGATTTGAGAGACCAGGAGGGAGTCATCAAGAAACGTCAGATTAACATTATGAGAAAAGAAATCAATCTAACTTTTAAGTTCACATAAGTGATAAAAATGTCTCTCCAAGTAAAAACAGCTACGGTACTATCCCACCATAAAAAATGAATGAATATACCCTTACCTACTGGTCCAAACAGATGGCAAATCAATCCATTTGGTAGGGCCAAGGATTGAAATTTAAGGGCGTGAACGCGCTTGTGGCCATTGTAAACAGCTCTCTGATTGACTCCTGGTTTTGATATGGGACGAACCGTTCCATCAACAAAGCCGAAACAGTTTTCCAAGGCGGCACCTTTGTCATGAATTGCTTCAGAGTAAGTTTGCAATAGGTTAGGAGACATAATGAAATGATTCCATTCGGTAATCCTATGGCCATGAACATTGTACATCCATTCAGTGACTTCATTGCTAATCATGCTGAGCTCGGGCACTGATCGACCAAAAGTAGAAATCATATCAGACAACCTACATGGATAGCTAAAGCGCTTTAGTATAACACAAAGTCCTTCTGTTGAATCACAAACGGTACCATTCGGACATGTGAAGGTATCAGGCATCTGTAAAACATCCAACAGCAATGAGATGTCACTCTTTTCGAATCTGAAGTCTGCCTTACACTCTGCGGGGTCTTTGTTTTCGAGGGAAAATTTTTCGTAATCCCAGTGGCGAAACGGAAGGTTTTGTGGAGTGAATTCTTCATAAAGCGCGGCAAATTCTTCGTCATCTATTAACTTTTCTTCCAGACCAAGGAGCAAAGCTTCCTGTAACGTCTTAAATGAGTTTTGAGTAATTCTTGTAGGGAAAGGTGAAAAGCGTTTTACTGTTTTCCAGACGATGACTAGTCTAAATGATCGCGTTCTTGATCTTAACTACATATTTCCCGCGCTTAGTACGCGGTGCTCGCCCAGCCCCACTCTCGGTCCTCGCGTTTTCCAGACCACCGCGTTGTCGGTTCTTAAAGTCCCTAGTTTTGATAGACGTGTGACATGTGAAAAGCGGAAGTCTCTTGTCTTTTCCCGTTTGTTCTAACAAAATAAAGTCGGGGAGATTCATCGAGATTTTGTGGGCGTTTTTGATAAAACGATTTTTCAACTCGCGCTTGTTGGATATGAGATGATTGTAGCCAACTCGGCGCTAAGCGCCTCGTAGGCTATCTACCATCTTATATCCAACGCGCCCTCGTGGAATAACTGTGTTAAATACATTTTGACAGACTGATATATATTCTTTCACGAGCTTTTCCTTTTTTTTTTGTTCCCACCGGGTTGGTAAGTTTGTTGCTGAGAGCTCGTCAAACGTCAACAATTATTTGACAAGCTCTCAGAAACAAACTTTCCAACTCGGTGGAAACATAAAATAACGAAGGAGCTTGTGAAAGAATATATATCACTCGGTCAAGAATGTGTGTAATGAGATAGCTCACTTCACTCTCACTCTCATCAAACTGTTCGTTTACGCGGTTGAAAATGAACTGTACACTCTGGCAGAGGTAGGATTTCAATTCTTCAGACCTCAAGTGACGAGTTCGCCACATTTCCCAAAGACTACTTCTACTTCTTCTTCTTCGTCTTACTTCATGTAACTCAGTGAATTATACCTGTTCCCGTTTCCAGGCTAGCGCGGTCAAATAGGCGAACCGAAACGACGAAACGAGACATCGAAGAGACGAAAAGACGAGACGAGTGACAAATCGAAACAAGGAAATGACACGAGGAAACAGCAGCGAAATTAAGAATTGGTGGACGAGACGACTGAAGGAAGCAACGAAGTGACACAAAGAAACGACGAAACAACGAAACGACATCACGAAACGACGAGCCGAACATGTTGTCCACGATTTGACTTCATATATACATACAGCCTTGACGCTTATTACAGTAATGATCTTTTAGAACGGAACAAATAGTTCACATGCATTACATTAATGGAGCAACGAGACTAGCAGAGAGAATGTTATTTTGTGGGAATCGAGATGACGCATGGAAATTAAACAGTCAAGAGATACAGCAGTACAAAAAATAGAAAGGCAGAAAAATGGCCTATCATTTGTATGATAGAATGTAAAACATTTCAGACCAATAAAATCACCCATGACTTAAACTCTGAAAGCAATATCAGAAAAAGTCGCGTCTTTCACTGTTTAATTTATTTCAAGCATTACCATGCCTCAATGGAAGCCAAAAGTATAGTTTCGTTTTGTGTTTTTGATCTAAACAATAAAATAACCATGAAAAAACACAAGATGGCCCATTGGTCTGCAATTTATGTCAGTGCCTCATTGATAAATGGCGGGCTGTGTAAATATGCGATCTTTGATATGGAAAATAAGTAGCTCACAAACTTTGCTTTTGTCTCTCTACCTCGCAGGTAATCGCTTACACAACACTCACGTTGATAGTCATATCTGTGATTTTGTTTTGTTTGGAGTCGTTACGGTTTTTTCAAGATGGTAAACCAAAACTCTCACTTGAAATCCTTGAAGGAATCTGCGTGGCTTGGTTTACCCTGGAGCTGTTGGTTCGCTTCATCTTTTGTCCGCACAAGTTGGCGTTTTTTAAAAAGGTCATGAACTGGATCGATTTCCTGGCGATTGTGCCTTTTTACATCAGCTTGGGTTATCCATCGGATTCTGATGTGGGGATCCTTAACATCATTCGATTAATACGGATTTTCCGTATATTCAAACTTTCACGGCATTCGTCAGGGCTTCAAATTCTTGGGCACACGTTGCGGGCAAGCGTACGCGAGCTTCTTCTTCTAATATCATTTCTCTTAATTGGAGTGGTGTTGTTCGCTAGTTTGATCTATTACTGGGAGAAAGACGCTGAAAATACAAAATTTACTGACATTCCTAACTGCTTTTGGTGGGCTGTTGTTACCATGACAACTGTCGGGTACGGTGACATGGCGCCCACTACCACAGTAGGCAAGTTTATCGGCAGCATATGCGCAGTTTGCGGTGTGTTGACAATTGCACTTCCGGTTCCTGTGATCGTAAATAACTTTTCACTGTACTACTCTCACGCGCAAGCGAGGCTCAAACTGCCCAAGAAGCGGAGAAGGCTTCTCGTGAACGCATCGAATGCTCTGAAAGCATCAGCGGTGGTCGAGAACGGAATGAGCGGGGATTCAAAAGGAAGCTCCGATAGTGGCTGCGGTGAAAATAGCACTTCAAATGGAGGGCGAAAATGTAGTCTTCTCATCACAGATGAACTTAATGAAATTAAGCCACGGCGACCGGTTAGAAGAGATAGCCATCTGTTTAACAACAGTGCAGCGTCTTCAAACGGGGACGTACCTACCAATCGGCCAACTTACGCCATGCAGAAAAGGACCTCTATGAGACCAACGGTACCTACACTACCGGAAATTGAGTGAGCCTGAAGAGACTAAAGCTGAAGCCCTAAAGGTGCGTGTAGTCCTTTACTGCTAAATTCCCCCCTAGAATTGCCTATCACTAAAGACCTTACTGGGTGGATCTGGGGTAGGGCAGATGCGTTCCTACCTCCCCGCTTCAAATTTCATCAGATCATAAACGACATAGACCTAGTTTTTTTTGTTCATTAACTCAGTTAAAGAACTTTTAAACTGCAGTTTACCATAGCAATGGATCACACACAGCCTTCAAAATTCATTCGGAAAAAAAAGTTTTTAATCACGGGATTATTAAATTGCCACAAATGAGATTTGATTTACTAGAAAACATGGGAACGGCGAGGAAGAGGAAAGGAGGAATTTTCAACTTTAAGTCAAGTTCGGACCGTCCGAAACAGACAAGTCCTGAATGGGCTCTTGCTTTAGGCTCAGTCTAAAGATTCGGGCGAGAGTTCAAGGAGCTAACACTGACTGATTTCATTTCGTGAAATACGTTTTAAAGCGTCACGTTTCATTGGAATAGTTACTCCAAAATATTTCCTTCAATGATTTAATGTAAATGTTAAAAATCATTAGGATTTCATCCCCAGACTCAAAATGGAGGGCCACCTTGCACGCATGATAAACAGTACCACAGAAAAGTACTACTCAATAGCTTTAATTTGAGTGGTCACATTTTAGGACCTAATTTCTTGGTATAAGAAGATCACGAAAGCAGCGCGATAGATGCTGGCCTCCGCTTGGGCACAACCTAATATTTTTTTATGCCCAATCAGAGGCAAGCATGTGAATGAGATGTGGAACTGGTTTTTTGAGAGTAGCATTCCAAGGGCTCTTTCGTCTGTTCTTGAAAACTGTGGCCGCCATTTTTCCCGACCCGACATACCACTCCTGGGCCCGGCCTATGGGGATGACGTTAGGATTGTTTTCACAGACTCAAAAACTAGAACCACCTTGTACAGCATATCAAAAAATACCACAAGAAAGTGCTGTTTGAATCGCGCACCACACAGTTGCGGACTTATTTTACACACTACAGAATTAAAACATTGAAAGACATGCATTGTGTTAAAACTCAGCTATATGCTAGTATAAGTGACTGGTTTCGTAAACTCCTGCAGCATCCCCCTAACTAACTAACTAACTAACTATCATATTTATTACGTCATAGGGTATGGAAAAGGCACCCATAGGCAACGTCTCACCTCCAGAGAACTTCACCAGCGTATAACAACATAATTCGCTAACCGAAGCTATTCCTGACAGAGCCGGTAGGGAGCGAATACACTTCTAACAGAATTCATGAAAATCCGTGACATTCAAAAGGAAGAAAGTCAAAGGAAAATTATTTTTAAATTTAAGGACAGACCATAACTCGCTCACCAAAGCTATTCCTGACAAAAGTTGGGAGCGACTACACCACGAACAGAATTGGGTTAACTCAACACCAGTTTAAAAGAAAGAAAACCCGAAGAGCTTATTTTAAATTTATATTCAAACTATTTATTTTGAGAGATTCCAAATCGGAGGCCTTGTTTTCATCGTTTTTCGCTGGCGAAATATGTTAAAATCACTATGTTAGGAGCCCATAAAATGGCGGGGCTTGGTAAATACAGTAATAACATTTTACAGTGATCGAAGATCTTTATATGTCTTCACTTATATCAGACAAGTCATTGTGTGAATAATTATTTATTAATTCACGTATATATTTATTTTCAGTTATTTTGGGTATATGATTTACTTTGTTTCAAAAAGATCAGTGATCTTAGGATTTTTTCGAGAAACAAAGTTCAAATTTAAATAATTATGTGAATCTCATTATAGTTTTGTTTTAAGCCGATGGCATGCAACAATTTTTACCTGTGTGTGTCTGTGCCTCAGAAAGTTTCAAACGATATACATATATCTAGCCAGATTTTTGAAAACATTCGTATTAAAACTGGAGCCATTTGAATAAAAAGAGGCCAAAAAGGCATATTACTTGTATCCGATAAGCCCGAAAATCACGCTAAAGAAAGAATAAAAGAGAAAAAATAAAGCCGAAGCGAGGAAAAATCAAGATGGTGAAAAGAGAAAAGCAATCAGAGGGTTGCATTACATATTGTTTACTTTGGAGAATTTTTAACGCAAAAACTGCTTTACGGAAGGAGTCTATTTTGGCAGTAACTTTTTCAAATACTCCCGCTAGATAACTCGGCATTCACTGTAAAGAGCATTCAGCGATGTTTCTTTCTCTATCAGTTGTGGTTTCCTTCTTCCTGAATTGCTAACGAGTTTGAGAATTTCATTTCAAAGACGTTATCACAAGTAGGTTTTGATATCATTTAAGTTAAATGCTGTTTTTAAACTCGTCATGTTTTCTGACATCTTAAAGCATTTAGATGTATAATGTTTAGCACACGAGTAAAAGTGTTTTTGTAAATAAGTTTTAGTCTTACTAACTCTCGTTTTATTAAACGCCTCGGACGTTTAATGTAGAGCGGTCCAAATGTCATACTTCTATAAGGGTTTGAATTATTTTGGCGCGAAGAAAATTGGCACTGAACTTAAGCATCGTCTAGTAGATCAGATATAGCGGTCTCTATGATCAGCTATGATCCAAGATTATTAACGTGTTTTAGTTTTCATTTATTGGAATGCGGATTTGTCTCAAAGACAGGCAGAAAAATGAATTGCAGCAAATTTTGGCCATCGTACATTATAAAATGCTTAGAGAGTGGCTATCAGATCAAATCTCTTATCAGAGTGGCCTTTGTAAATGGTACTGATTTGAAATACGAACTTCGAGAAGGACATTCTTCAGTACTGCAGTTGGTGATTATCGTTCTGATGATAAATTAATTTTCGTGCAGGCAATATAGTCTAAGGTATTTTGTTTAGTAAATACGTTGAATTAACATTAAAGGATTAAAAAGGAATTTGTTTTCACCCGAAATCGGTTCATGAATCTGAATTGGAAAATAACTTCTCAAACTCATTAATAATTCATAAAGAAAATACAAAGAAAATTAATGTTTAATGAGTGTTTGGAAATCGGATGAAAAACTGCTCAGTATTTGCATCCTTAATTTCTCCTTCAAAAATGATTTTGTTTGAGAAGAAATATCAAACATTCGACACAGTGTTTCATCACCAGATGAAACACCTCGAAGTTCGTCAAAAATACTCCGCTGCGCGTCGTATTTTCAACTCTCTTCTCGGTGTTTCATCTGGTGATGAAACACTGCGTCTCATGTTTGATATATTACGTGAAATGTGTCGGACAGTCTGGAAATTGAAATTAGTTTTTCTCAAATATAGGCAAACAGGCTACAGAAGTAGATTAGAAATGAAAATTAAAAAAAAAATCATGGTCGTACTGAAATTCGTCTTAAACTCTAAGTGGTCGTTTTGACTTAGGCATAATCTCTAGTCTCAGCTGTTAAAGACCATTTGGAAGAAGAGAGAAAGTAGCGAAAAACATAAATGAATCTTGTAACCATGGGTACCTTCTTGGTCTTGTCTTCGGCAACCTGGTTCTCAGGGTATACGGGATCTTATGGCTGACAAATATTTGAAGCAGTGTTAACAAAGGCACGAAAAATGAACTGACGAGGCCATGGATATAATTACATTCGATCATTCATTAGTGTTATGAATTAAAAAAGAATTTGTATGTAGTCTATGATGTAAATAGTGCAAATAGTGTAAAAAGATAGTTATCCAAAAATATTTTCTTAGTTAGATAGCCAGGCAATCTAACCATCAAAGTCCATGTTGTATGTTTTTTTAGTTGTTAGAAGGTGTTAATCGTTGATTTCAATAAAACATGATAAACAGAAATGTGCGCCAATGTTTTTGCTGACGTGTTTCTTTCACAGTGTAACCGGGCCAATATTAATCTATAAATTCTTTAGACGTGGATAGCCAATTTTTTTTCACAGATATTATTTTACAACTGCCAGCAGCCCTCTGTCTTAAAACTAGTGATATCGCCATGAGGTGTTAATTGCGATGATACTTTAAAGCGAAAACGTTGAGGACATCTTGCTCCCCTGGTTGAGCAAGCGGTAAACAAGCAAGAAGGCAAGTGTAATAGCCGAGCAAAAATGTGAAACGTTTTTTAAAGGAAAGTAAAAAATAGGAGCAAACATACCAACCATGAAAAGGGGGCAAGAGAGCATATCAACTATCTCCTACAGGTTAACCCACCCCAAACCAGGGGAGAGGGAAGGAAGGGGGAGGGGGTTGGGGGTCCTTACCACTCAGTGTCTTTGCGCTTTAGGGGCGAACATGTTGTCGCAATTAAAACTCAATGACGATATCACTAGGTTTGAGCGGATTAGCCTGCGCGTGCAAGTCCTGCAGGGTGCTCTGGCCGTGGCCGAGGGAGGGACAAACAACAATAGCAACTAATGAATTCCAACCAGAAAGCTAAATGGCGCGCAACTGCAATTCACTCTGGTTGAAAGCCATGTTTTGCTCCCTGTAATGTGCTTGCACTCCCCATCTTTACGTATAGTAGTTACGGACAAAACTGTTGAGAAAGTTCCATCTATGTAATAAATGTATTTATTTTAGCGTATGCGTTTTTGACAGGATGACCGAAAAGTAGTTCTTTTGTTTAATGGTTCTCAACCGGTTTCATCCGAGGTTACTTTTTCGGCTCTTCGTGGCCTACTTACTCTCCTTTTACCCTAGTACATTTTAAAATAATTTATTCAATGATGCGTGGAGAATAAGAATAATTTTAATTTCGTCAAAAAGTGGCCAGTTTATAAATCTGTTTATATCAGTCAAATGTAACTGAAACATCCACTTTTAAAGCTCTACTTTTTCGCAGTTTTATTATTTACAAAAAGGTTCCTCTTTTTCGGCGATTCAGAACTCATCATGGAAAGATTTTCCAAACTCAGTTGCCATGCTTCCAGCAAAGAATTCGTGGCTCATCACAAACTCGTCCGCTGTCAATTTTCCATCCTGTATAAGACAGAAAGTGAGATTAAAAATTGCTCAGTGCCTTTTAATTTGCACCTTGGAAAATTGTTTGAATTAAACATCATGGGTTCATTGGACAGTTTCAGCCATGAGGATGACGGACACGGCAACGTCACTTTACTGAGTTGTTTAGTGCATTCGTTCTCTAGAAAATTATCGCGATTATTGCACATGTACCTTGCTCAATTTGTCTAATGCAAGCTCAACAATAGAGAGCTTTAGTTTCGAGGACGAGAACGAAATTTAATTTTAAGTTTTTAGCCTATTCTTTAAAATAGACACCCCGGAAAGATTCATTGTACTTTTCTCACCACCAAAGTTAGCACGCTTATTTCCGATTTTCTCCCGATCGCTAAATGATAAAATTCCTAACATTTGATAACTTGGTTTCGCCATTACGACATACTCACTCAAACTCGTAGTAGAATGACGATTGCTATCACATTTTCCCGCCAAAATGACGTTGGTTTGCACGCGCGCACTACTTGCTTAGTATTAAGAAAATCGTCGTACTCGTCGTCGTCCTTTAGAATCTAAAGCTCTTTATTTTTCCGGAGTTTACTGCTTAGCTGCCGCATTCAAGTTCAGGAAGGTAAAAAAAACTCCGAATTATCTTCGTTTGTTTTCTTCCTATACGTAAAACTCCACCCTCCCAGCAGTGAAAGGAAGAAAATTAATCAAATAGTGTTATGCACATGCAGAGTTGTTTTTTTTTTCCTTTACTGGACCTGTATATTGCTCTTTGATGTTGCCGTTGTGGTCGCTTCAAACAACCTAAATATTTTAGCTTCAAAACGAACAACGCACATTACGGCGAAGCTTGCGAAAAAGTCAGACATAATGAAGATGATACCCGTTGTTTCAGACTCAGTTTGTCAAAGATAGCTAAATTGCCCTGCAGCAGGGGTGTAGCGTATGATTTTGAAAGTGTACGCATGGGAAGAAAAGTTAGATCACGGAAGGCACTCCAAAGTGGGGTGGGGGTGGTCTGGGGGCATATTCTACCTGAAAATGTTTTAATTTAGGGTCTTGGAAATACCATTTCCTGCGTTTTCCTTTGGTCATTTTCAATAAATAAAATGCAGTAGTTAGTTTTTTTGTTTGACTCACCTCTAGTGTTATAATAAAAGGGTAATAAAAGAATAAAGGAAATACCCGCAAAAAGACACCAATATTATGTGAAAAATTTATCCGTTATCCCGGCTGTTCGCGCGGGTATATGAGCGTATATGGACGCTACGCTCCTGTCATGTAGTAGGATTCTTAGCCTGTCAACTGCCTTCAAGTTCACAAGGAAAACATTTGTCGTCCTGCTGTTGTCTCTGTCCCCCATAAAAAGTCATGTACATTACGTATTCTTGCGCATGCGCCGTATTTTACCAGTGACGGCCGCCAAATATAAATACAACGTTGTTGTTTTGTCCTCTAAATCCATTTTTTGTTGGACTTTCTCGACGCAGTCGGAGTTACTTATGTAATGAACCGACGTAAAGCCGCTCTGATTTGTACTGAGATGTAGCGAGGCCGAGAACTAAAAGCGAAAATACGGTTTCCAATTAAAGCATTATTCCACTAGCAAATGCAATGCATCAAAATTGGCAAATATGGTGTTTGTTTCATTTCAGGAAAGTCATGCTAGTAAATATTATGAGACTGAAGAACATGCACGAATTAATGGCCACAATAAAGATCAGTATTAATACCTTATTCATATCGGCGTTTTCTATTAAATGTTGAGCTTCTCCTAGTGCTTTGTTGAAATTTTTTGGTCTTCTCCACACCTCTACTTCTTTCTGCAAAAGGAATAACACAAATTCAAGCTCTCATCAGCCTTTGTAGTTAAGCTATGTGTTTCTAAAATCACCAAGATGGTAAAGAATGAAATTTCTTGCTCGCTGTTTAAGCAAATAGTAAAAACCGTGAGTTATTTCAAGTACCACATACGCCACATTGTTGGAGTAAACGTTCACTTAACTTGAGTCATTCCTGTACTCTCTTCAACGAGTTTATCAAGGAGAAAAATGATCATTTCTCATGGTAACTCGGCTGCGGACAAGTTTGTTATTGGGATCAATATTTATTGACCTATTTTTGTCTTTTGTTCGTGACATCACATCCTAAAGCCTTTTCAAGGTGTATTATAACAGACACTGATTCCAAAAGTAAGAACTGAGTGGCCGGCCGGACTATGACTGGACCAGTCATTTCCCAAGAGTATTTACTGAAAAACCGTCTCCTACTGCATTTAGGATTTGACAGATCTGGCTGGATGCTTTTAATTAAAAGTTAAATTCTCATTACGACGGGTATAGTCTGGGCTGTCAGTTCTGACAAGCCGAAAGCGCGCTGAGAATTACGATGTTATGTTGCTCAATCCGAATTTGAATGTGAAGCACTGCGTCGATCGATCAGTGACGGCGTCTGATCATATTATACTTTGTATACGATACTAACTATCGTATACAAACTCCCGATACAGGATATCGAGGAATACTTAGTATCGTATAACTGTTCGTATACACATGTACAAAGTAAACTGGTATTGGCCAAAATCCGATTATCGGCTTCTCTTCAGTGGTAATTCATCTTTTCAGTGTCTCTGCTCGTAAGGTTTTATAAATTGCCATACTTACGAGATTGAGGTGTCCATCGTGGTCTGCATCATACTGCTCATTAAATTCTGTAATATATAACGAATTAAAGGACCCTGGCATGTTGATATAAGCTGCAATGTAATAGTTAACTTCATGATTAGTTTATCTTGATACGAAGTGAACAACAGGTGCAGAAGCACAGTCATGGCAAAGAAACTCTGAAGTGAGAGTGTTCTAAATAATTAAAATTGTGTCCGTTTACTTACCCAAATACTCTTTGAGGGAGAGGCGACCATCTTGGTCCTTGTCGTATTGATCCATTAATTCCTACCAGCAATAAAATGTCAAGTGAGGACTGATAGGTCCAGTTCCGAGAATGGTAAATGAACAAACTTTTGTTCTAAAGTAAGCACTACTTTTTTAGGGTGTTAAAAAGATTTAGAGAAAGGTTGCTCATATTCTCATACAGTTAAGATTTTTCGCAGAATCACACCGCATAACTAGCCGAATTACTAGAAAATAGACGGCACTCTGCGTCAGCGTAAAGGCACTTAAGCGGCCAAGGCAAAAACATGGAGGTCCAGGCCGCGTTTCATCATAGTTCACAGTCCCGTCCGCAGTACACGCATACAAAATGTGGACCCCCAGAAATGGACCCCTTTGTGGACCCGGTCTATGGACTTCCCCTGTGGACCACCCCTAATTTTTGAAGATGAATTTTACCAGAGGTCTAAATGAATTCTAGGAACCTTTAAAATAATGGACGAAACTGCTGTCAGTTTATATTATCAGGCTTATGGGCTTCACATATTAACTGCACCCATTCAAATTTTCTTGAATTTCGTACATGGATCGGTTTATCTGGTGAAAGAATAACAATATTTGTGGTAGGGCGGAAGACGTCTCCTGCGCAGACATTTTTTTTTTGTGCCGTTGCGTTGCCTACCCTCCCACGCTTTCCTTATGGCCCATGGAAACGTTTTTTCATTTGGCAAACTTATTCACTCCTGCTTACGGATCAAGCACGAAATGACTTGCATATAACGGTTATGTCCTGAAGCTTGTCAAACATCTGTCCAACCCCAATGTTTGAAAATATTCAGGTCATTTTGTGCTTGTTCCGAAAGGAGAATTAATCAATACGTTTGCTGACAGGCTATCATGGGAAGGGAAGCCTGGGGAGGGTACTCATTGATCATACGTTACTTCTTCCTCTTAGTCACGCAATGCGTTGACTCTCACACACAAAAAGCTGCACTGGAGGCTAGTGTGGCCCTGTTATGGCCTTGCAACGCCTCCCCGGGGGGGAGGGGGTACTTAGGTTAATTTTTGCTGGGTATGTGCCGCTGGCCTCTCAGAGCCCCTACCCCATTTCAGTTTATTCTGTGGCCAATTATAGACCCCATCTTAGTCACTTTTGGGCAAATCTATTTATGTATTTATGTATCTACCTTATACTGAATGAAGTAGTTTTCACCTACAGTATAAAAATTCTGTTTCGTTTGCTAACTGTAAATACGAGGAACTGTCTTACCCCTAAAATCAGAAAATGTGCCTTCCACGAAGGGGTCCAAGGACTAGGCCCTCATGGGAGTTTTCATGGACTGGACCGGGGTGTTTATGTCCGTCGGCAGTACCTGTTTTGTTGTTATTTTTGTTGATTGCTATAAAAGGCCAGGTTATCAGCTAAAATGGCAGCCGGACTGGAATGGAAGTCGGAAAACCCTTACTTTCGGCTGAATATCGGATTTGTGCAGTTTTTCATAAAATTGGCTAACCGGTGGAAAACGTTTGGATGTGGGAATTTTTGCCTTGAAAAGTATCAATATCAGGCAATGTTTTCAAGGTCGGCACCCGGCAAGAAACAGAGGTAAATAAACTTGCAAGAAGAAGAGGAAGAGGGAAAGCTACTCTGCTATTATTTAATTACGAAAATGATAGATATTAGGAAAGGTAAGTATACCTGGCCTTTTCAAATACAAAGTCAGTGGCGGGTCATACATTGCCCTGAGCCTGCTAAGAAGCAGCGGTCATTTCGCGGGGTAACCAGTGGTGGCGACGTGAAATGTCGGCTGTTTTCTTAGGCTAGCATTGCCCCTATGTATTTCTAAATTTACTTTTTAATGAAAATGCTGCGATTGACGCTCTTTTCGTTGAGAGGTACGCATTCGGAGGGCAGCGTAGTCAGAAGATCATGCTGTTGTCTGAACTTGTTTATGAGTTACAGGAAAATAAGTTGAACAGGCTGAAAATGTGATTTACGTATTCACCTACCACAGCTATATAAGGCAGCATGATTTCATGTTCTTTTGGATGATAAAAGTACTCGAACTCCTGTCTGTTCAACATTCCATCCTTATCTTGATCACTGTATCTCCACTTCTTCTTATCATACAGAACATACTGTTCTAGGTTTGATCGTTCCCATCTATTGTGCATATCTGTGAAAAAACCAAAGTCAGTGGATTAACAACCAACAGAAAAAACAGCACCAACAACAACAACGGTTGGAGTCCGTGGTCTATTGTCTGTATATCATTAAAGTAATATCCTTTTTAACGGCAATAACACTTAGACTTTGATGTTTTAATGACTCTCTTAAAACTCGAACAAGCATACTAAACCAACTGCGGACAAACTACCTTCGATTTTACATTGCATAAACCACGTTCTGATGAAATTGTTTGAAAAAGCATTCGTGTACGCAACTTAAACTAGAGAACTAAGCGTCGCTTCAGTTGTTTAACTTTTTCCTTGGATAGCATCGGTACTTCCTTTGCCTACTTTTTCCTCACAAAAAGAGAACGGTTCGTTGAAGATGTAGTCATTGCTTTTGTTCAAAACGCCTGCTCGCTACTTATTGTCTTTCACGCAAATAATAGCGAGTACTGGTTAGTCAATTAGACTGCAGAATTTGTGATAATACACTTGGTGGTTCATAGTATTTTCTGCTTATACGGCTGTTAGTAGTTTTCTTTCCCCAGTTTAATACATATTGGCTTTCTGCTGATAATTTTTAAGTAACGTTAGTGGAGGCTTGTCCGCATATAAGATCATATAAATGCCGGCATGATTTTGAGCTTAATAGTGAGGCACAAGAATCGAACATTATTCTGGATTAACAGCCCAACCTTTTTTTGACTCGTTGCCTTTTGTAAAAACTTTGCCAAAAGTATGGGATTTCTATATGCAGAAGCCTATACGAGACACAACCAAAGAAGACATGTCAACATTTTAAGACCACGCCTGAAAAACATGGCTTGCATTAGTTCCAGTTCTACCACGTTGTCAGACACCTCCTAACTAAGATAATTCATTCTACATGGTTTGTAACTAGTGAGCGAAGAAAATCATGAAAATAGCAGTTTTATGTTTATTATATTGGAGCATAATAGTGATCCTATTTGAGCATATTAGAGAGTTTAAGCAGCAACATTTTGAGCGACGCACGTCAAGCGGATGTAAGTCGTTTTCTCTTTTAATATGTCTTGACACTAGCAAATTTTCATTGCTAAGTTTTTTTACTCTTATAAAGACGATTTGCCCAAAAATTTGTTCAAAATCACGGCTCATAAGCGGAAAAAGTCCACTTCCTTTTAACGTGCGCCGCTCTGAGCGTTCGCTACATAAACTCCTTATTAGCGACATCTAATGAGCATGAAAAATTAGCATAATCTGAACGTGAAACATTCAAGTGGATAAACCTAAACGTTTGCCTTTATTGTTGAAATTAACAAGTCGTAAACACAGACCTTCTTCTGTGAATCCAAAGCTTCTTGTCATGTACTCTTTCCACGAGATCTTGTCATCTCCATTTAGGTCTCTATCTCTAAATATGGCATCTACATCCTCGTGCACAGTCCACTTCTGCATTTTATGTCGGATCCAGATCTCCAGTTCGGCTTCCTCTACGAAGCCATCTTTGTTGATGTCGATCCGAGGTACCAACATTCTGTTGATACAAAAGGTTGAGGCTCTAGAAACCCTATACTGAATAAGTTTAGTTAATTGTCAGGGAAGAGAGTGTTTCTCCTCTAAGACGAAAGAAAATTTTCTTCCTCGGCAAATATTGCTTGCCAGACGCAAATTTTGAGTAGAAACTACTGAATACTTTCATTTTACCCTACGAGCAGAGGTTTCTTTCTGGGATGGCTTTAAGCATTTACGAAGGCCAACTTGGTAAATGCTTAAAGCTATGCCGGAAAGAAATTCCATTCTGCTCGCAGGGTGCTCCCATTTTGGCCAAATTAGAGGAAAAATGGTTTTTTGACTTTGATGAATTTTTATAAGTAGCAGTAAGCTGAAAAAAGATGCTTATCATCGAAGATTTTTGATATGCGATCAGGATTCAGGGTTCAATAAATCCTCAGCACACTAACAGACTGCATTGCAAGCCGTTTTTATGATGAATAATAAACTTAGGCATTTAATACATGATCAGTTTTCGTGAAATTTTTTTTTGCTAAAAAACAGAGGAGACAGCAACTACAAGATCTCTTAAGGCCACCCAAAGATTAGCTAGTACTTTTTTTGGTTCCGCAAGAATTGGCTTTTTCGGCTTCTTTTGCCAACACTAGAAGTGACGTTTTCATTTCCCAATTTACAGAACTTATCTATTCTCCGTCGATTCCTGTAAACTTTAGGTAGCTACCGCTGACCAGTTTTTAATGCGGTAATAGGACTTCCAAATGACCAAGACATGGTTATATTGGATCATTCCCTGTCTTTCAAAGTTTATTTGCTCGTTGCCACTCTGACGTTGTTGTCAATGTTGTGTAATTTTAGAGCGAACCCGGCACATTATTTCTAAAAGAGTCACATGGTAACTTGAAGATTACGCCTGTTTAATTTAAGCGAAATTGCAACAAACTAAGAGGTATAGATGGCTTTAACAGTGACGTCATCAAATTGTAACGTCAAAATACGAGATTTTACAAATTCTTATTTACACTAGGTTGAAGATAAACAAAAAGTAAATCTTTGTACAAGTTTTCTTTCCAGTAGCATGTTTCATTTCGTCCTCTTGATTTTCAGCAGCATAACCATTTCAAGTATTAGAAGATATTTTTACGCGCACATATGCTAGTTCTCGAGTGAAAAGAAGGAGCTTTTATAGAAAACCTGTACTCCAGATGTCTTTGTTGATTTTCGGCGGCCATATTGGTGCACCAAAATTGTGCACCAATATGGCGTCTCCATACAAAGCTCTACAAAGGTGAGTGAAACGTTTCGACAAATAACTCAGAAACTGTGGGCCACAAAGACCTGAGACTTGGACAAATTGTTTAAAAATTAGTCTTTGATTGCTGCCGGGCATCAGCCGGCAGCAGACCATATTCTTGAGCGATTTGAGATCGTCAATCTGTGACTGCAGCGCTTTGCAGTCAGCGGTTTGCTGAAGCAAGTGCTTAGCTGCCGCGCCTGTTTTTCTCTTAGGAGGAACCCGCCATTTTATTTTGCTCTCATGTAAGATCTGTGCAGAAATCGTAGTTTATCGGATGTTTGCTGTCTTTTTAAACGGCCTAAACGGTAAGAACAGTTCAAGAAGTATTGTACGGAATATTTTTTCGCTTTTTTTTTTTATTCTAGGTTTCAGATTAGTTACAGCGAGTATTCTTTTGTCACACAGATTGTTAGCTCGGGAATCAGAATTGTAAGTTACATAAGTGAACGGCATGTGCTGTACATCTACCTGACCTGTGAATAAACAAGTTTTGGACTATACGTTATTTGTTCGCAACTCATCTCATCCTGTGTACGATGATTGTTCGATGTAGAAATAGCCTATAGAGCCCTGCTGTTGTTTTAGTATTTCGTGAATTATTAAAATGAATTACAAAATGGCACTGAAACCTTAGCGAGTTATATGAATGTAAGCATATTTGTTATCGTGATCGGTTCATTTTTTATATTACGCTCTGAGTGTTTGATAACGCCAACAAGTCTAACTTATTGACTTCAATAAAAAAGAATTCATTTGTTCAACTGTTCTATAAACTGTCTTTGTCCTATTCGCATTGCAACTAACGGCAGCACTTCCCTTCTCAATGAGAATTTCTAGTAATATTTCATTTTCTTGCCTTTCTTCCACTCGACGGTTTCCAATTTATTTTTTTGTTGCGTGACAGTAAAAACGATCTAAAGGCATAATAAAATTTGCTTTGGACTGTACACGCTGTATGGAATGCTTGCCATTAGGTCCCGTACACTTTTACAGGTTTCTTCTTCTTTTGAGTTATTTTTAATAGGTACTGGCATTAAAAGACATTATTTTGTTGATGAAAAAAAAAAGCAGCTAATAGCATTCAACTTTACCTTGTACAGTCGAAGCGCTCTTTAGCAGAGACCCTCGCAAGGCAGAACAAGCGTCCGTATTCGAGCTGGCTATTTACAGGAATAATTTTTGCAAGGAGAAAGTTAAAATGGGATTTCGTCTAGGGCAGCCGTAAGTGGAGCTGTCGTGCGCCTACGATCGAGGATCTCCATTGAGAGTGCTTCGACTGTAATAATCGCACCGCTAATTTTGTACATTACTACCAGTTGTCTCATTTAATGGTAGGGTTAGAGTTTTTCCAATTGACTTTTGTCTTCGGTGATAATATCGCTCTATATCGTGTTACCTGTCAAATAATAACCAATCAACGCACGACCTTTTAATTTCCATAACTGGTGATATTTAGATCGAGGTGTAAGCAGACTGGTAACGAGATCTTAGTGTGCTTCCTATTGAATGAGCTTCAAAAGACGTATCAATTTTTGCAATATTTGAGCAGCTGTCGTTTTATGAGCAGGAGAGGTATTTTGGTATAATTATAGCCAAGCGTGAACGTTTTTTCACGGTTTAAATTATTTTAGGAGAGTTCGTTAAAATTTCGGCTTTGCGCATTTTTTTTATTGCAGTCAACGGTAATTTTTAAATTTAACGCCATAATTCTGGATTCGAAGAAATCCGCGCATGATGGTATTTCTGTTGGGTGTGCGGTATTTGTTAAAATTGAGACTGCGGATGCGAGCTTTTACGATTAGTAGAATGATTTATAGTCAGAATTAAATTATATTGCGAGAGAAATGTCCCAGAATAGCCGAAAGGCTTCTCATTAAACGCAAACCAGTTTGTGTGTGAGCAAACGTAATATTTACTCGTAGACCACGGACACAAACATGTGCATAACTTAATATCATATCCAGGGCTTTTAACGCACACTGATTCATAACTGATTATTTTCATCACTGTTTCATAACGGAAAATAAAGTTAGTTGTTAATAAACTTTACCAAGTCAGGCAAAACTTGTTTAATTTCATATTTTTGAACAGCATTGTATATAGCGTATGAATCAGTCGTAAGTTTTGAACACATTTTGTGTTTGTGAGACAGCCGTTTTTTCAGGGTAATATTTCAAGTGTAAGATTTCTAACAAATTCCTAAATACCTTGATTTTCATAAAAATGCATTTAGGGTAGGCTTTGCTTTAAAATCTATTAAATTTCTGCTTCAACTTTATAACGGGGTTACAGAATACCTACTTGAGCCGTCTCCTAGACTCCTTCGGCGTAAGTTTTTCAAACTCCTTGGCGAGCTCTTCTCCGAGAAAAGCGATATGGTCTTCATGGCTGCTATGTGCTCGGCCGTCATAGTGGTGTTCAGAATGAGCTAAGGAAAACTCGGTCAGCAACAAGAGCAGAACCAAAGCAACAAGGACACTTATCCACTTACACATGCTGCGATGTTAATGGCTGGTGAAGAGGATATTATATTAAAATAGAGAATATCGGCTTATTTTCTCTGTTTACTTTCTTAGCCGTGTTTAGTCAGCTGTGACTCGTGGATCAATCACAGGTGCGCCACGTTCATTCGTCCCAGGTCTTCTAGTTCTGTGTAGCTAGAGGAGTATGGGCACAAGAAACGAAAGCACAAAAGAATAACAGGTCGTTTAGTTTATCTTTCGCGTTTCAACATTAACTGATCTAAAATTTCACTCTTTGATCAGTAAATTGATTTATGTTCAGAGAATTTTCTGGTGAAATCAAAGCTGAGAGAAAATGAGATATTAAGTAAAGTTTTCGGGCCGTCGCTACGGACTTGGAATCTTAAACTCCGTAAAAATAATTATCGCCGATTTCTCGATGAATTTTACAGAGTACAGAGTTCTTTCAACTTAGCATTATCTTGCAGTTGTGTCATCTTTTCTTTGAAAGCTTGTTCTCTTTTCGTTTACCGTCGCTTTTTAACTTTTCTTTCCGTCGGTTCATTTAAAAATTGCCAGTTTCGCAATAAAAATCAATCGATTTTAATGGGACTTGTTCGTGTTATACTTTGGCTATTTATAAACACATACACTGACTGTATTGATGAACTCGAGATTCTTGGCTAATGAGCGGCAATTAGGGATCAGGATAAGCCGTCTGCGTGATATATTTGTGTTTCTGGTTGCACGAAATCAGTGAGGGGTCATTATTATAATAATAATAATATACAGTATTTATAGAGCGCTAATTCCCAATGGTCCAAAAGCGCTTTACATAATAAAAATAACAACAAAATCCTAAACCTACAAAACTACATTGTCACTCTATAAAAATTCCCAATGGTTTAAAAGCGCTTCACATAATAAAAATAACAACAAAATCCTAAACCCACAAAACTACATTGTCATCCTATAAAAACATCATCATTCTATACGACAACATCATAACCAATTTTAAAAAGCCAAGTCTTGAGCTTAGATTTAAAAGAAGAAAGGGAATTACAAGATCTAAGTTCGAATGGAAGTGCATTCCAAACAGAAGGTGCAGCAATAGTAAAAGACCGGCCACCATAAGTTTTAAGATTAAATTTAGATGTAGAAAGTAAAAATTGATTGGAGGATCTAAGAAGTCTACCAGGTGTATAAGGCTTGATGAGATCAGTGATATAGCTAGGTGCAGCACCATGAAGCGCCTTAAATGTAATTACTGCAATTTTGAAAGTTATCCTTTGTTCAATTGGTAGCCAATGAAGTTGAATAAGCAACGGCGTAACATGCTCATATCTACTAGTAAGGTGAATAAGCCTAGCAGCACTATTTAGGACACTCTGTAAACGTTTCAAGATACATTTAGGCTGACCGTAGAGCAACGACAAAACATTTCCCCGATTCTGGTTGGCTATAAAAGCACACGCATAATTCACTACAACCAGCTACTGATGACCGAATTTGGAAGAATTTTGCGATTGATCAACCGATGACGTCAAAAGTGCAGCTTCCTTGCAGGTTAATGCACCGTTAACAGAGAATACCTGAGGACGAGGTTGCGGTTGTTTTGGTTGGGAAAACAAAAATGGCCGACATTTCACTCGTTTCAAGAGTAAGAACTAGGCGAAAAAATAGCTAAACACATGGCAAGAACAGCAAGAAAACAACTCGAAGGTCGACATCTGCTATTTGGAGAATATTTGTGGAGCTGAACAACCCTATACACTATCGAAGATATGAACTTAACATCGATGGAAGTAAGCATGTTTTAGCTATGTTTTTAAACTAGGAATTATTTTGAATGAATAATAAAACAATTAATTTTGACTCCACTACACAACATCAACAGACAAAACGTAATGGCAAATAAGTTTATTTTGGGACGGCTTGGCGAGAACCAACCCTACAAAGTATTTATGTAAATACAATAATAGGTGAATACTGGTGAATACCTAATGTACAACACTTGTAAACTAGCTTTCACAAAAAGATAAAACTCGTGCGACAAATGGTCGCTCTTGACCTGAATCTCCCATTTAAGCAGGCAGGCTTAGTGCCAGGTAGGCTGCCAGTCATTCTGGGGAAACTAATTAATAAAACTCAGACAACGCATAACTGGCACACGGAACACGGTAGTAGCACAGAGGCTAAACAAAAAGAAAAAACTCCTCACCACTGGTCGATCTCGACCTGAATCCCCCAAATAAGCACACAGGCTTAGTGCCAGTTAGGCTGCCAGTTAGGCTGGGGAAACTAATTAATAAAACTCAGACAACGCATAACTGGCACGAGGAACACGGTAGGAGCACAGAGGCTAAGCAAAAAGAAAAAACTGCTACAACTGGTCGATCTCGACCTGAATCCCCCAAATAAGCACACAGGCTTAGTGCCAGTTAGGCTGCCAGTTAGGCTGGAGAAACTAATTAACAAAACTCAGACAACGCATAACTGGCACGAGGAACACGGTAGGAGCACAGAGGCTAAGCAAAAAGAAAAAACTGCTACAACTGGTCGATCTCGACCTGAATCCCCCAAATAAGCACACAGGCTTAGTGCCAGTTAGGCTGGAGAAACTAATTAATAAAACTCAGACAACGCATAACTGGCACGAGGAACACGGTAGGAGCACAGAGGCTAAGCAAACAGAAAAAACTGCTACAACTGGTCGATCTCGACCTGAATCCCCCAAATAAGCACGCAGGCTTAGTGCCAGTTAGGCCGGGGAAATTTAATAAAACTGTGATCAACGTATAACTGGGACCGGGAACACTTCAGGAGCACAGAGGCTGAGTGCCAGGAAAACTGGGAATTCTCTCCACTAATGTACCCAACAAGGCACGTAGCCCAATAACCAGTAAGACTGCCATAAAAGGCTAGGGCGGGACATTGAGGGTAAACAATGAATAACGACCCTGGCTAGAGGTCTGTAACATTGCCTGCAACCTAACTGCGTCAAACGAGACTTACGTCGCCTCCTAAAGAGCGGTTCCGGGACAGCTGACCTAAGCATACATGGAAACTAAATATATCAAGTAAAGGAGCAGGTGTAAAACTGAGATAACTAGTGTACAAGTACATGAAATAAGAAACGGGAAAAAGGCTGAAAACTAGCAGAGCTGAGCTACCGCTTACAAACTGAAGTAAATGCGGTCAGACGGAGGCCAGAAAAAACCTGCCCAAAAAAAACCCCGAAGGGAAAAAATGCGGGCAGGAAATCTGGGTAGGAACCAAGGCTCAAGCTCAAAGCCCTTCCTACGGGACTTTACAATGTAATCGAGAATATGTTGCTCCTAAAAATAAATAAAACAAAAATTTAAGAAAAACCAAGGAGAGGTTGGTTCGTAAGCCTAGATGACGAACACGTGATATACGCAGCCTTATATACCCCCGATATGGCTACCCATGGTGCACCCGGCCTAGTACCCAGGCCCTGTTGTATCTCGTGCCGTCAAAATATTTATTTCTGCCTTCTTCGCGGGCTCATTCGTCAGAATAAACATTTGAATTCGGCTTTCGTATCGGAAGAATTATGGAGAGCTCGGAGGGTGTTATACGCCTCGGCCTACGGCGTCGACGGATAACACCCTCCTCGATCTCCATAATTCTTCATAACATACTCAGGCTCATTCATTAATTGTTAAGTAAAAAAAACATCCGGGAAAACTGAAATTTTCTCTTAACTTCTGCATTTGAAAAATATATTGTAATTAAAGCATTGTGAGTTCACTAATGTTTTCTTTCATGTCCCCAAATAATCCGCCGCCCGGTTAGCTTATTGGGGATAAGCACCGGTCTGCCGAGCGGGAGGTCGCTGCTTCAAATCCCGGCTGGATCAACGCTCTGGGTCTTAAAATAAGTGTTGCCTTTGTAAAGACATGTGCAAACGGTTAGACTTTCTAGTCTTCTCGGATAAGGACGTTATACCATAGGTCCCGTCCAGGGGGGGCCCACGACTTAGCGAAATTTCGTGTACCTATGATCCACCGATTTATGACATCACATCCGGTTGCAGAGTTGCTGCTCTGTTTTCGCGCGAGGCACAAAGATGGACGCCCGATGCTATTTGGTTTCCTCGTTATTTTTACCCACAGGCTAACGGAATTATGTATCTTGAATGCCGAGAATATTAAGAAGGTATATAGCCGGCCTTTCAAGGAAATGTCATGACCAAACAAAGACGTTTTAGTATTATTTTAACGATAAATATCATGCAGCTGCGAGGAATGTCATGGCGAGTCTTGCGATGTTTCAAAACGAGTGTCGTTAACGTTTTGCGGCTTTTGCGGCCTCTGATTTAGAGAAGTCATCAATCAAAATATAATTTCCTAAGCGGAATAGAATAGGAAAAACGCCGATGGCCACAGTTTAAAGTGTTCACCGCTGGAAGGCTGGATCACGCCCCGTAAAGTTGCAGAAACTTCCGCTCAACTGCAAGGTTTTGAGGAATGTCATGGTGAGTCTTACGCTGTTTGTAATCGAGCGTCACTCAAGAGTTTGGCTTTCGCGGCTTCTGATTCATCAAAGACATCAATCAAAATTGCCTATCCTGAGCGAAATTCCGTGGAGAAAAAGCTTATAGTCACAGTTTAAAGTGTTAACAGCTGGAAGGCTCTATAACTCGACGGTAAAGTTGCTACAAGGGCTCAGTCTTCTGCTTTTCGAAGACCCTCTGGCATGATGTCGCATAGATAAGGTTAGTAGGTTTGCTGATTTTTCTTTTAGTGCACGTGAGAGAATTACAAGGAGCGTAGAGTAGCGAAATATTAGAGTTATTCAATGTTTGAGCGTGAGCTTTTAATAGTTAAGAGAATTAGATAGTTTTTTAAATGATTGATGAAAGGGGAATTCTTAAAGAACAGGTGGTTACTATTAGAAAAGAGCAGTAAAACATCCGAAAGAACTACCCTTTTTCTCACAGCACTTTCTATTGGATCTCTAAAACTGTATTTTATTGTGTAAGAAACACATAAAATAGAAAAAATGTGACAGAGAATAGACCGTTTGCTTTGGGAGGTGGTGCCCCAGGAGAGGTGGAGATATTAAGAGGGCCTACACCAAGAGGAACAATATTATA